TTCTTATGAAGAGTAATCAGTGATCTTTGCCATCCCTTTAGAGTTTTTGAATTTATATATATAAACCTACTCTATTCAATGAAATGTTGCCTTTGGCCTAAGACACCACATAAAATGTGTCCTATTGAAAGCATTAATGAGCTAAACTTACTATGTAATACAGAGGTGATGGTAAAGAATAGCTTTCTTTTATTAACAAGAGATTATCTGACTAGATTTGCTCCAGAGACTCTTTTGTAAGTGCAGTGTTGTCTGAGAACTATGAAGATTCATGACTTGATAGGTAAGAAACTGAGCTAAGAACTGGTACAGTAAAATTCTTTTCATTGGCAGACTTTGACACCAAAGGCTAGTTGCTTAATTTTCAGTGGCCCTGATTTATTTAGCTATATGTCACTTGGTTGAGTTGTATCTCCACTGGAACTTGGAGAGAAATGTTAGTAATGATAAAGGGAATTGTAATGTTTATGTCCTTGAACTGGCATTGGTAGCAATGATACTGAATTATCTGCTAAAAGTATTGTCATTATGTTGGAATCTTATGACTCTCTAAACTAAAATTGCTCTGCTAGGGGAAGAGAATACATCTATAAAGTCTCAAAGTGGTTTGTTTGACCTCTTCCCAACTTAAAAAAAATAATTCAAAGGGATGTATTACTGTTGTTGCTTGATTCAAAGGGATGTATTACTGTTGTTGCTTGAATAAAGACCCAAGCAAAAGCAAGATTTTTCCACACACTATATCCATTTGAGCCAATAGTTAAGATTTAGGTAAATGAAACAAACTAAACTTACTCTAAGTTACTGATTTCTTGGGCATGTTTTTCCTAGATCTTTGCTAGAAATTTAAAGGCCACTGAGATACAGATAGGACAAAAAAAAAGTATAAATGTCATTCTACTCTGCTGTTGACTTTAAAAATTTTGGAAAATAAGTTGTATGTTTATAATCAAAACATTCTCCATCCTTCTGTTTTAAAAATTTAATGACTGCAATCTTTATTATCATTTTCATTTCTGTTTTAAAGTGTTTCTTGAATCTGCTTTTATAACTTCATGATGTTATATAGAGTTAGCAAATGTGTCTATATCTTTTCAGAACTGCTAAGGTGGCATCTGGCCAGGAAAAACATCTTCTCTTTGAGGTACAACCTGGGTCTGATTCCTCTGCCTTTTGGAAAGTGGTTGTACGTGTGGTCTGTACCAAGGTGAGAATGATAGAGACTTCTGAGTCGGAACTTTAAATCTTTCTGGTGGTTAGAATTATACTTAGTAGTTTAATATGTCATAGTAGAATAATTATAGTTTGAAGCTACTACTGCTTCCAGATTAGCTGTTTGCATCACAATGTTTATAAAAAATTGCCAGATAATAGATTTTTACCTCAAAGAAGGTGCCAGTAAATTCTTGTCCTTACCTTTTACCTCTTTTGAATTTTAGCCAACTATAAAATTCTAAGCTATTTAACTCTAAGTTGACTTTTAAAATTAAAGTTCTATTAGATGATCATTTCTTTTAAGAACACTAGATTTCATTTGGAATTCCATCAGAAAGTTTTATTTTGAAATTTTTTTTAGTAATTTTTACTTTTAGAATGGATTTTTCACTACCAGTGCAATTTCTTCATATTTAAATTTTAGATAATTCAATATATAAATCATGCTAAAAATCTAACTCCTAAAATCATAGAGTACTGGAAAGCTTTATCCACCAATGGATGCATTAAAATAAGTGGTTCTTGGCCCTCCCTGGTGGCGCAGCGGGTTAAAGCACAGCACTGAGAAGCTAAAGCCACTTCAGCATGAGTTCGATTTCTGCCTGCCCCGGAGGT